CCTTTACAATTAAAATTTTCTTTATTTCTTGCATAATTCTTAATAAATAAATAAATAATATATATATATATATATATATATATATTATGTGATATGACATATTGAAAACGTAAATGATAATTAGAAAAAAGTCTTAATTATTGTTAAAAATGCATAGATTAATTTGAAAAAATGACTTGGTAAATGTGTGGCGAAATTCACAAATAAACTTTAGTTGATAACAAATTTTAGATTGCTCAAAGCAACAAAAAAATGAATTAAATACTTGCAATTAAAATTTTTTATTTCTTAAATACATAAAAATAAATAAACAAAAAAATAATATATATAAAAAAATCTAAATATGCATATGTTAAATATGTTAATTAATTAAACAGCTCATACTGCTTTTTAAAAAGTTCCGATTGTTGCTTTGCCAATTCTGTCTGTTCCCTCGTTACTTCTGATTGTTTTTTTGTCAACTCTGATTGTTGATCCGCTAACTCTGACTGTTTTTTTGTCAGCTCAGATTGTTGATTTCTGAGTTCTGATTGTTGTTTCGTTAGCTCAGATTGAAGGTTCGTTAATTCTAATTGTTTTTCGTATATTTTCCAGAAATTTATTGTTACTTGATCCAATAAAATTGAACCATTAAATAATGTTCGTTGACCGAAATTAGGTTCAACGCTGTGGTTGTTTTGTGGAGTTAGAGTTAAGTGATCATTTATTTTTCCAGGAACAAGACTAAGGCACCATCTGTTCTCAAAATCGGAATCTATTTTATTATTAAATTGTTTATTCATTTTTTATTATTTGAAGATAATTATTTTTTGTTTAAGAATTTTTTGTTCCTTTTTATATTAAAATTTTACTAATGCTAATAATTGTGGTTTCTATTTTAACTGTCTATATGTCGTGTTAAAATTAAGTGCGGAGGCGGTGTACAGAGTTATATATGACACAGATAATGTGTCATTAATATTAATCAAACAAACAAATATAAACGACAAAAAAAAGTTTATAACAAATATTAGACCATTTA